TATATATATATAAATGGATATGTATGTCCCTATATTTCACTTTTCCGCCAAAACTACACATCGCACGTGAATTGTATTTGTATGTGGTAGTAGCCCCAAGTCTCCATTCGCGCATCGGGGGGGGTTGCGTCTCGATAGCTATAAGGGTGCGGGAGATATGGGGCTGAAAGTGGTTGAAAGTGGCTTTCTATTTCGAATGTTTTGTTCGAATTTGTTCGAATTTAATTCAAACAATATTCGAATTAAATTCGAACATAAAATTCGAATATTGGTTCGATTATAGAACGATTGTAAACGTTCCAGAAACGTTGAAAATTGTTCGTTTGACTGGACGTGAACAGGAGACGTCCAGAAATAGAATCGGGACCAGGGGACCTATTCTGAGCTCTTCCGATAACTCAACGAGAGCGATACACGGTCATTCGATAAGTCCCTTTAGCGAAAGGCAGTTAACGAACCTTACACAAATTGCTATTCTGAGCTCTACGTTAAGTGGGTTTCGCTAAGGGTAGTCGGTCGAGATGCGTCTGGGTTCCACGCTATCGATAGCTATTACGCTTTAACCAATCACAGTTTAGTTAACATAGTATTTTTGTCACGTGACTGCAACCCGCCATTTTCTAAGCGAANTTTATAATTTTTTTCCGAAGTAAAATGAACTAGATCGCAATTTTGCAATTTCTTTACTCCAAATTTCGAGTTTTAATTTAAATGCTTTATTACATTCTGACGGAAATGTGCCAGGCAGATTTTGACCTTAAATTATTATATGTAATTCTCAAGTTTAAATGCCACATAATATCCGTAATGAAGTTTAAATCCCGGAGCAGAAATCTATCTTCAAGTTCATTCTTCGTTCTGTTTTCGTTTGTGAAGCATTTGGATTTCATTGGGAATAAATTTTAGAATCTTCTTATAGATAAGCCAACATAAACTCTCAGATATAAATTTTTAAAAACTTGCTAATGCTAAAAATTGATATCGGGAAATAAAATTTCTCGTCACTGCCTGAAAATGTACTTGAAATATATTAACGATTTATTCTATATTTTTTAATTATATTTTATTATCTCAATGACATCATATGTATGCTCAAAATAAAGAGTACTTGTCTGAGAAGCTAAAGTCAAAACAAGAGCCTTTCTTTATAGTTTAGAAAATGTCTCTACACTTATTTAAAAGTTAATGTATTAAAATCTGTTTTTACGCGTGAAACCCGAAACAAAGTATTGTACACGTTCGTGAGAAACGAACGACAAAGCGAAATACAAACTTCTGTTTGTCAACTCCGTCGTCTCTCAGCTCTCAACCGTCTCCATCGAGCTCGAAACTTTTAGGGAAAAGACTCCTCATCACTGATCCCTTCGTCCAAACGACTAGATTAGAACACAATCTGTAGATTACAGATTGATGTAAACTTTCACTCTGTCGGTTGATTCGAGGAATAAGTAGCTAACTTGTCGATAGATATATTTTAATCTCTTTTGTATGTAATCGTCACTTTATTCTGCTCACTAAACTCACGTTATTTAGTACATTCTTTTCAATCAGATCGGTTAACACTATCGACGAACTTACGACTCTCCCCTCTCGAACGTGAATTGAGGTATAGTTATAATCGCGAATTACGACACGAATCACATTATCCTAACTGGTATTAAAATAAAAATGACATAAGATTTTCCTGATGACATTAACTGATAAATATAAACAAATAACAATCAAGTAGAAGATCCTACTCATTTAAAGTAAATTATGCTAATTAACCGATAAAACATTAAAAATATTTATTATAGCTAACGAGGTTGGAATCTGCCTTTGTTATTTGCTATTTGAACCTTTTTCCTGTCAAATATGCCTTATCGGCTTTTATCACAGCGAAATTTTAAAGTTATTCGTCTTATTTTTTATTTTACTTTTATAAAACACAAAAATTAAACTGTTTATTTCTACCATTATACAACTAATGTTGTTGAAAAAAATCGTATACGTGTGCAGAATCTCCCTGATATTTTAACACAGACCAAATATATCCTAAACGTCGCAATCGAAACGCCCCTAATTAAAAAAAAAATGGCGAGAAGGTGTGAACAGCTTACGTGGGTGATGGCATCAGAGACAGAGGCACGAACTTCGTTTCCATGTAACACCCGTTTATTAATATACAAAAAACATCTTTTCGCCAGTAAGACGATTTCAATGTTCGAACGGGATGCGATGTTCGCTATAAGGAAGTTACTCAAATTGATCGCTCTTTCTGGGAAAATCGGTGTGCTAAACGAGTGTTTATTGATAGAGAATGCGAAGAACACAGTCCGTTTTCCCATTACTAGAATAAAAGTTTCGCTGTCCCAGCCGGAAAGCTCTTAGGTTTAAGAAGGATCTCTGACCGGTAGAATCACTTCGTCGACTCGGTGAGAATCCTTTGGTTTCCGGGAAAATTCCTTTCGGTCGGATAAGGTGCGAAAATATCTACTCTTCTAGTACAGAGAACAATTCGGGCTTCTTAAAAGTTTCGCATCCTCGATCGTACGTTCCGGTTGGTCGCGATCTCCATTTTTCACCTTTCCGATGCTCCGTGGTGTGTTACCAGGGCCAGTCGAGACAAAATTCAAAAATCGGACACCAGCCGAAAATGTTTATCGAATCCGCCCGTAATTGAGAGTAAACGTTTTCACTCCGATTGTGAATATTACCAGCCGCACTCGCCTGACATTTGATTTTATTATACATTCTTCCTTACCGTTTTCGCCATCCTTGGAGAAAATGGTCGAATATCCGATCTGTTGTCTCGCGATATTTTAATTACTTACAGCATTTTATTCGAATCAACTTTTTCCTTTAGAACAGATTTCGGTCGAGGTTTCGAACTGTCGTCGAGACCTTCAGAGCTTTCGGGCGTTAAAAACTTTGCCCTGTAAAGCAGCATTTTCTTAATCCGTGTCAGGAGTTACAATTATATTCATTTCCTCTTTTTTTTTTCTTTTTGAATAACTGTCGGATGCATTTTAAAAATTAATTTGTCGATTTTTCTGCTTTTGTTTATTTCTTATAAACGTTACCGTGCAGTGCCATTTCCTATGTCAATTACTGCAGATACTGAAACATTTCATCTGTGCAGTAGCAGATTTCATATAATTTTAAATGCCTAGTTAAGCTAAATCAAAATTATTCCTATAAATTATAGTAATATTTTAAATATTTTTATAATTATTTATAAATATTTATAAATATTCAAATAAATATCCAAATATTTATAAATATTTGAATAATAAAACGTGTACTAATATTTATTGAAAATTCTCCTTAATCCTTTTTGAAATTGCATTGGTTACTTGCTTTCTTTAGCTGTGAAATGCCAGCTGCTAATGCTAACGTGTAGCTTATTGTAAAAACTGATTAAAGTAAAAAATAAGAAATAATAATTTTATTCTATTACAGAACCAACCGTATTTATTCAAAACTTATATTTCTCTTATTAAAGTCAGTTTTTCTTTATAAACATTTCAAATTTTTATGTTTTTCTCATGAAAAGTCCTTTTTATATAAGCTGAAACGACAGAGGATAAAACGAACGTCTTTTTTTTTAACCTTAGAATCCTTTTTAATCCTTCTATTATCGAAGATTGTTCAAATTGATACAGACATCAAAATTTACTGTACATTAAAATATTTCTCAATTTTAGTTTCTAAATTATTACGGTTATTAGTTGTTTTCAATCATGATTTAAATCTCATATTAAATTTTAAATAACGATCAATCCATTTCGTGTGAATGTCGATTTATGCAGGCGCGACTCTGTTTGGCGATTTCTGGCCCGGGTCGATCCCATTTGTTGTAAGTTACTCAACGGATAGATTTTAATAGCGATATAGAGAATTGTTTAGCAGAATTAATGGGCCGCAATTTGAAAAGCCTGTAGACTTATAAATTCTCTCTGACTGTGAAATTGCTTAATTGCCTTGGTTTTCATCTATCTACCTCCGTTCTGTAGATTAGATAGATGAAAACCAAGACAAGACATGGAAGGAGTCGGGACGTAGGTCCCAATTAAATATAACAGGAACGTCCCATACAAATCGAAATTGACTTTATTTCAATTCAAACATTTCCCCCTGTAAGAAAATAGATAGGAGACGGCACATGTATTGCTACAGGAATAGTATGAAGTACAGAGACCAGCAACTAGTAATGTGAGGTTCAGACCGTGTATTTCAAATTAAATAAATTAAAAATACGATTGGAATTTTCAATCCGATAAAATGACCGCGTTGTAATAAATAATTGCTGGCGTGTATGTAATTTCTTTGAAAATTTTCAAACGACTGCTTATTTAAAAGTAAAGTAAGGGTGCTTATTTAAGGGTAAATTTTAATTATTTCAAATGTCGTCGAAATTTAAATAAGAAATTTATAATTTATTCGAATAAATATTGCCTTAAATTTTATATGAAGCAATGAATTTTAACAAGATTTGATCTTATTATTCTTTTGTATATTAAAAATTTAATTTAGTAAAGAATCGAACATTGAAAATAATTAATGAGATTTAAATNGTGAGGTTCAGACCGTGTATTTCAAATTAAATAAATTAAAAATACGATTAGAATTTTCAACCCGGCAATATGACCGGGCGGCAATAAATAATTGCTGGTTTATATATAGTTTCTTTGGAAATTTTAAAACGACTGCTTATTTAAGGGTAAAGTAAAAGTGCTTATTTAAGGGTAAATTTTAATTATTTCAAATGTCGTCGAAATTTAAATAAGTGCTGGCGTGTATGTAATTTCTTTGAAAATTTTCAAACGACTGCTTATTTAAAAGTAAAGTAAAAGTGTTTATTTAAGGGTAAATTTTAATTATTTCAAATGTCGTCGAAATTTAAATAAGAAATTTATAATTTTATTTTTTAGCTTTAAAAATATTTTGGAGAAAAACGTGTGTGGAATTAATTGGAACAGATGCAAATATCGCGCTGTACATCTATGTGACGTCAAATTTTACTTGTACATTTTGAAACATATAAATTGGAGTCATACAAGACAATTCGTCAGTTGTAATTGAAGTTGCAAATTACGCATTCTCCTCTGCTTTCCACTCGCAAGTAGAATCATGATGAAGTTCTTGCTGCCGTTTTTCATTTTAAGTACTTATTTATTTATTTTCTATTAGCGATTAGCTAAATTTGTTCTTTCTGAATGTTTTTCAGGCAATGAATTTATTGTAAAATTTTCTTCAACATTAATATTTTTGTTTTAATCGTAATTTATTTTTAAGGTTTAATTCCAAGTCAACCCGGAAATTATGCGTTGGGTTCGACTGATGAAGATATTTCACTTTCTACATTGATCGAAAAGCTTGAAGCAATACCTTCCGTAAGTAAAAACTCTTCATTAACGCAAATAATTAATTGTATATTGTGTTTCAGTTCGCATTACTGTTAGTTGTTACACACACTTGGACTCGGTTTATTTTTCGTATTTCTTGAGCTAGAACATTTACGTACTAAATGTCGTATAAATAGTCATTTTTTGTATCTGGCGTAGTTTTAACGTAATTAAAATGTCTTTGTAATGACGACAATTTAGTCTGAAGAATTTTTCATTAAATTCCTAATTCTGCTTTAATTTTAAAATATTTATTATTAATTTTTGTAATGGTTTTTGGGAGATTTTTGAATGTAATTTTGTCGAGATCGAGATGAAACATGGAAGAAAGTAACTTCTCTCGTACGAAATTAATTAGAACAATTATTATTTTCCATTAATTTAGAAAATGCGTTAGTAATTAAGAAATTTACGTTTCGTTTTTAATTGTACTTCTAATTGTAAATCTATTTGATTCCCCTTACGTGTTGTAAGGTGAATCAAATAGATTTTTCTATAGGCTTTTTTTTAACAGTCGATACATCATTATTATTCATTAAGTAATTGTAAATTTTAATTAATGTCTATACAATAACAATGACCTCTATAGTTTGGTAAATTTTTATTGTAAGATACGTTTAATGTTGACAATTCTCTCCATTAACTAGAAATTCTACGCACAAATCTTGAAAAGTAATTAGAGATTCTCTTTTCAAATTTAAATCTTTCTTGATATTTCCAGAATATAAACACCGGGTTACTGATATGTCTGAATTCGAGTACGGTCCCTTCACTCGGCTGTGAAAATGAAATAAACGACGGAAGTAAAATGATATGGTGCCTGTTAAAGGAATTTTGTTACATGGAAAAGAAGCCTGATGTAATTAATATAGTAGAATGTCTTTCAACATTATTTGGAGTAAATGTATACGATATACCGAAAGAGGTTTTCGATGCTTATGTAAACAAAACATACGTATCTGTTGATAGAATTTACAACAATATCCATACTGGAGTGATTAATTGTGAATTGATCTATGGCGGTCAATCATTAAATAGTCGATCTCCTCTGAGTGATCTAAATCAGCTTACTCAAGAACAGATAAGAGAATTTATAACTTGGTACATTGAGTATTATGTCTCTTTATATAATCAAATTCCACTTGATTAAAATGTACCTTTTTACGTTAATATATCAAACTATTCTTGATGTAGCCTACATTTATTGAAATGTAATAAAATATATATTCAACTGCATACAAATATGGATTTCTGGCTGATTTCATTCTTTTTCAAACAAACATTGACATAACACTTTGACAATTATCTTAATCGGCTGATAAATATTTTTTTTGTCGCGTTCGACACTGCAATATCCACACGCGATGTGGCAATATATGACGTATATTTCCACATCGCATCCACAATAGAGCACAAAGAAAAGCAGTTGTTTTAGTTTAAACGCATTTTTACGTTCTAGTTGTTGCACGAGTTCTTGAAAGTCTGTGCAGAGCTCATTGAATCAGCCGCATGCGTGTTTCTACTTTTCGCGATTCGAAAACAATATGTAAACAGACGATAACGCCTATCGAGTCAAGAATTCTGTATTATTTTGGAAACACAGAAAACCGTTCTATTTTGACACGTTTCCTCGCCCGCCAGCTGCATCTGATGTGGGTCTTAGAGATAAAGGATCGAGATGAAAAACAAAAAATAAAGAAACCCAGAAGCAATTAACCGATAAAAAATTATTAACGACAACGAGCAACTATTTATTGAGATATCACCACAATTTTAATAATTTTTTCATTTAAAATATATGCTGTCAACCTAAAATTAGTAAAGTCTTTCCCGTCTACATCGTTCTTTTCCTGCAGCAATAGAGTCGTGCCGGCCTTCGAGGAGAAAATGTTTGATTTGCAATAACGTAATTTCCGGTTTACCTGGGAACATTATATATAGCCTCCCTCACTTCTTTCAAATCTTGTTTGTTTATTAATTTTGCGATCTGCCTACGGGAAATTCCTTTCGAGAAATCTTTTTATTGACCTGGAGAAAGTACGGAAAACTCCACGTGGTCAGGTGCAAACCTACGACCGAACTCGCAACATTAGGGGAACGCAACCACTTGGCCAGTGTTGACTCCTTTAAAATCTATTATCGAGGTTAAGGAAGGTCAGAACAGACAGCTACATTGTGGAAATTTATATATCTACAATTTTCCTAAATTGCAGCCCAGTAACTAAATTTATTTAAATGCATTTCTTAACTGCGAAGCTAATTAACATAAGTTAGATTCAGTTATAAGAAGATCAAAGTACACCTAACGGCTGCGTTCTATAGCTGTATTCTTAACTAACAAACTAATTTTGCCTAATTTCGAGAGAAAGACAGTTCACACTTCTTCGCAAGTTGATAAATACCTCGTCTATGCAACGACTGATGTATTCAAGAGGTGATCGTTGTGATTCGAATCTATCCTTATTGGCGATGATTTCTATTCCTTCGTGTTGGCAATCCAGTAAGTTAATTGGGATGACCCATTTGGAGTAAATTTTGGCCTGAAAAAGTACCATTGAACTAAAGGACATTTTCGACTTTTTCTTGGTTGGGCTGCAATTTGAAAAAATCGTAGATTTATAAATTCTTATTGTCTGTACTTCCTTAATCTCGAAAATACAGTTAGACAGATAAATACCGAGAATTAGGGCAGCAGGCTCTGATTAACTGTATACGAACTTCCGATACAATTCCAAAGTCATGTCATTTTAATTCATATATTTTCTGTTATAAGCAGTTAGATAGATGACCGGCACGATTCTGTTGCCACAAGAAAAGTATAATGTACAGGGGCAAGATACTACTAATTTGTGGTGGAGAGCATATATTTTAAATTAAGTAAATATTTAAAAATATGATTTAAAAAAATTGCAGCCAGGCATAGCGACGACGTCACAATAAATAATTGCTCGTTGTTTTATAATTTCCCGTCTGCATCCTGAGTGAACTGGTTTTGTGAGAAGACGAGGTTAAGGGGGGGTTTTCTATAGATCGCTTATTTAGGACGGGTATATTTACTTTGTAACTGGATGGCTTTTGTAGATTATCGGAGACAAGAAAATCGAGAGATTTCTGTCTTCTGTCATGATCTGACACCAGTTAGGATAGAGTTAAACGCGTCCTAACTCGCGAATGTTTCGATCTATTCGGTTCACAGAGTACAAAAATGAGTTGAGTGGGGAGGATCACGAGTAATTGGATGAGGTGTCGGCTGTTTCCGAAATAAAAAGACCAGCTTTAACTCAACAAATTTACTATAATAAAGATTACAGAGGACGAACATAATGAAGTCACATAACCTTAACGTTAGTTCCGTGTATCGTAGACTCGAGGCGGTCAATTATAGCGAGTAGCTATTTCCTGAAAAACTAAATCTAACTTATATTCTAAGTCGACCGAGAGAGTTAATAATTCTATGTAAAATACCTGGGAGAGAGTGATGATGCCTCGTTATCCTGTTTACTCGATGTTAGTAAGACGATCGTGGACCTACTCGAGGCATTGTCGGGCCGTCGTCGGATGATTGCTTAGGGAAGACAAGAGTTGGGAGGACGGAAGCGAATCTGTCGCTTATTGTCGAATGTCTGCCTCGATTATGACGGGACGAGTCTGGGAGAGGTTGTGCCCAATGAACGATCGCTTCGAAGTATGGGTGCATCGTCGTTATATCTTCTTTAAATCTGGAAAAATGATCAAGTAATCGGATGTTTGTGGAGACGAAGTTGCAGCTGTTGGGTCATAGGTGGACTGAAGATTACGGTAAGATATTGCCTGAACGAGGTAGATAGGGTAATATTTGGTTCGTGAAATGTTACATTTATCCTGTTTACTCGTTCCAAGGTTGACATTCTTTTCTTTTAACAATAGATTGTTATAATTTCTTTATGTTTGTTAATGAGAAGGATGACATTCAATCTTTTTTCGTGTGATGTTTCCTTAACGATTGCGATGGAGAAATTGGTTAAATTTTCCTTAAATTAAAAATAAAGTGTTATCACAGAGAATTTTATTACTTATTTTTTGATTTTCCCACAATTTCGATTTTGTTAATTTTTTTAATGAATTATTTTATTCTATATCTGAAACAATGATTACACAGGTCAAGAGTGGTTTTGGTGCCCAGGTATTTTGAGCTGATTTCATATGAATTTGATGTCCTGAATTCAAATATGGCATTAGTTTTTGCCTAGGAGCTCTAATTTTTAAGATATAGCATTTTAGCGAAATATATGTTTTAATATCTTAAGTTAAATCCATGGATCAAGTAAAAAAACTAAACACGGAATTTTTATTATTATATTATGCAAATATTATTCTATACAAAGATAGAGGAAAAAGTCATCAATAAAACTAAACAGTTACACTTTGAGGAAGCTTCTTTTCCGTGACTTTCGTGAATGTATTTTGGAGCAATCCCTTTTTAAACTCTGCCATCATATGCGTATCCCATCTTCCTTGGTAGCGGTCCTCCATAGTTTTAATATCCTGGTGAAATCTTTCACCTTGTTCTTCACTGGTATCTCCTAAATTTTTAGGAAAACGATCTAAGTAACTGTGTAAATAGTGCACCTTAATACTCATATTACACCCAAGGAATTTGAAACTGTTAAGCATCTCGTTTACCAGTTTAACATAATTTTCAGCTTTGTGTTTGCCTAGAAAATTTCTGACAACTGCAACAAATGAAGTCCAGGCTTTTCGCTCAGCTTCATTCATCGAATTTACAAAGGCAAGATCGTTAATGAGTTGTCTTATTTGTGGGCCATCAAATATTCCTGCTTTAATTTTTTCTATACTTAACTGAGGCATTTTTTCCCCTATATATGCAAAGCATGATCCATTCTTATCAAGAGTCTTTACAAACTGCTTCATTAGGCCTAGCTTGATGTGCAGTGGAGGAAAGATGATTTTTTCCTGTTCAACTAAGGAGTCGTTAATGAGATTTTTTTCTCCAACGTCTATGTTTTCTCTCTTCTTTTTTAATCCTGTGGTGGGGGGTTTCTAACCCAGGGTTTCTAAGTCTACACAAATTACCCATTGATGTTCACGATACGTTATCTTCTCCAAGACCAGAGCTATGGTGTTATATTTTTCTTTCATTTTCGTTGAGTGATCAATTGGTATTGAACCGTATTTGTTCCCATTGTGTAGAAGGACACATTTCAAACTTCGTTTTGAGCTGTCAATAAATAGGCGCCAATCATTGAAAAATATTCAAGATATTGAATATTTTTCATTGAAAAATTATCATTGAAATATTATTGAAATATCATTGAAATTATCATTGAAATATATCATTGAAAAATTAGAGGATATTGAAAAATATCCTCTAATTTTGTGACAAAACACAAAATTGACTTCTTGAGAGAAGAATGGTAGAAGATCCTTTTCTCTTGTACGGTAAAAAGTAATTTTGGTTCCTTGCTCCAGTAAATTTTTCTCCTTCAACCCAGAAGCCAATAATTCAGAAGCTTCTTTTGGCATGTTGAGATCTCTGGTGAGGTCATTTAACTCATCCTGGTTGAAACATTGAAGAATTGATGATATTCTCTCTTAATCACAGTCACCTTCATTAGGATCAGAGGGATACTCGTCCTCACAGAGCTCTGGTAGCTGGTGAAATGATGGAACTGGCACTTCCTGTGAGGGACCGGGTGTCATGCAGAGACTAAATCAGGATAAGTCCACTTGCTACGGTTGTTACGATTGATTCCACTAATATTTACTAGGCAGAAATAACAGTCATCGAAGTGATTTTTGGGTTTAATCCAAACCATCGCTACGCCATATTTCAGACTTTTTCTTTTCCTAGTAGTCCACTGTTGTAAATGTTCTGTACAAGTTTTACAGACCTGATACTAAAAAAGTAGAGCTGATAGAGAAAAACTGATTTCATATTTGGATTCAGCAACCCAAATATAGCTAAAATCAGTTCTAAAATCCTAGGCACCAAAAAAAAATTTTTTTTGTTGACCTGTGTTATTTATAAAATCGAAATAAATCAAACAGCAAAAATTTTTTAAATTGACAATTAATTATCACTGAAAAATCGTTGCGATATTAATCTCAACGTTTAATTGAGTGCAAAGAACATACATACATACAAAAAAACATCGCCCTTACGCAAAGTGTTTGGCCGGCAGAAAAGGGGGTAAGGTAAAGGAAAGACAGGAAACACAGCAGAGAAGGGTAGGATTTCTCTG